TTGCCAGTGAGGCCAGTGAAGGACAACTGAATCATAAACCTGTGCATGGCATCCCTCTGCTTTGTTCTATGAGCTCCTCTCACCCTGCACACGCATCCTGTGGCATGCATTGTGGTGCATCCTGCACACCGCTCTTGTTGAGCTAACATGACCAGTGTTATTTTTTGGAGGCCATCCACAGCCTCCAGGTGTACTTCTTCATCAATTTGCTTGTTGACACATTGTCTGCGTAAATGGCACTGCAATTGTCTGGCTTGGTCGCAATGGCACCTTTGGCACATTTTGCATGAGGATTGGCCTGCTATTCTTGGATTGTATGTGCTGCCCAGTTGTGGCACAAAGCAGCTGAGTATGCATACTGCAACCTTTTTCCAACCAGTTTCTGCCGTGGCACTTGTTTTCTTTAAGTGGATGACCCTGGCATCATGGGACTGGCGATGCCCGGCAAAGTGAATCCTGGGTGTTGCATGGCAAAGGTTGAGCTATTGCTGGGGCGTGTCGAAAACCTAGAGGACAACCTGAAGGAGGAGCAGGCACTCATAGAGAAGGAAAAAAGGAAGCAGGAACACAGGAAGCGTGCCGCGATGCAGCGTCTCACAGACAAGCATCGGAGGCGTGCCAGCGAAAGAGTTCTTGCTGTTTGGAGGTAATACATCTCTAATGCCGTGCAAGCAGCCCAGTGCACAGTGGTGTACCCCAATTGTGGGGTGGATGTGGCAGGTCATTCTGAATGGACCAGCTTGAGGAGTTCGAATAGGGAAGTACCTGTCTCAGCTGTACGCCAGTCTATGTCTCATGCACTTGTGTTGGGCTCTGCACACATGCACAACTCCTTGTGTACCGCACTGACCTGAATGAGCAATGGGACACGGATGTGCTGTCTGGAATATGTTGGTGTGCTTTTTGAGGGGATGGACTCTATGACACAATGGTTTTGCGACCCCAATGGGTGCATGTGGCAAAGAGCTGGGAAATGTTTGTGGAGGGGCGAGAAAGTAGGTAAAACTACCCTGATATGGGTGCAACGTTTAGGCTGCTTTTGGTGGGAGATGGGTTTCAAAGCTGGAATAATTGTGGTTAGATCATGTTCACGTCCATGCTTACCCAGCCTGCTATATGCCTGCTTGTATGAAGTGTTGAGGAAGTTTTGACCTTCTGATTATTGTGCTTGTCTGGTTCTTCAGAGCATCTATAGTGACAACTGGAAATAGGCATCCCAATTGTAGCTGTGCCTGCTAAGCCAGTTATGTAACCAAAGAGCCAGGTGCAAAATTGTTCCTCATTTCAGCCTGTGAAAGGGGCGGTAGCTGTTGTTGCCGCTGCTTGCTGAATCTGAACAAATTGCCTGGCACTGTCCGATGTGGTGCTGTCCTAGACAGCGTTCTCATCTGAATAGGTAAACCTACACAGGGTGCAGCATACACTGTGTCTCCAGTGACCTATAGCAATGTGTGAGACATAGGTGCCCTTGATGAGGAAGTGTGATAACTGCAGTGTGGGAGTGCTGGAAGATAATTTGTTTTAGAATCTCCTCCTGGGAGTCAGGAATTGTTGTCCTTTAGCATCCTGAGTGAAGATGCATGTAACACAATCTGAACGCCCTTGTGTGCAAAATATGTTTGGGGATTTCTGCACACTAGGAAAGGAAATGGAATTTAGAGATTTCCGAGTCCACTAGAAATATGGAAATATGGAAACACAAATATGGAACGTAAACAGCAATAGTTTGTTTAGGTCGTCTTGAGGAACATGCACGTGTTCATCCAGAACACACATGTCTGTGCATTTTTCTGTTGCAATGCGGGAATCGCAGTCTTGAAAGGCAATTGCCTTAACTCCTAGCTGGATGCCATGCCTTCCCAAGGTACAGTACAGGTTGCAGCAGCCTCCCTTAACTGCAAACAATAGGCATCCCTGCAGCATCTCGGTCTTGTTTCTTGCCTTGGCCCATCATGTTGCTGTTCTGGACCGCTCGATGGCACATTGCTCCAAAACTGCAACATGTCATTGGCAGTCATTCTCTCCCATGAATTTCTCACTCGTGGAATTGTTGAAATTCTGTTTCTTTCATGTGGGAGCACCACCATGTTTACTTTTGTCTATTTTGGACACCCAAGAAGCTTGTTCTACGACAGTAGGTTTCATCAGGATACTGGAACAAAGCTATGTTTCTTTGAAAATGCAGAATTGAAGACAACGTTGATGGTTCATTTGGCTGCAAGCCACTGGAACAATTTGCAGGGGTGTTCTATGCAGTTTACAATAATGTTAAGGTCCAAATTCACAAGTCTGTTGCACAGCTGTATTTCCAATCATTGCAGCTTCAGCATGAGTTCATGTTCTACTCCCAATTCTGTGTTCTACAAGTTCCAGGATTGTGTATGTGCATTTTGTTGATCCATATTACTTGCAGTCACTAGAAATATTCAGACTTCCCGATGCAGGGTGTTTCCACAAATAGTATTCAATGCCTGCGGTTATGCTGGCACATGACCACTGGCGCAATAGTGTTGGTTGCATCAGTGTCAGCACCCGCATAGGGAACACCTACAACCATCCTCATTGTAATTGATGTAGGACACAGCAAATGCCCTTGCATCAAACTGGCGATATCAGGCCATGGTCCCAAGCACAGGTTTTTGTTCGAACCAACAGTGTTTGTTCACGAGCACCACTGGTGCCGCATTGTGGATGCCACAGTTGGCCTTAGAGGGGAAGCATGCTGTCCAGCAGGCATTTGCAGAGTTATTGGCCAGAGGTAGCGACAAAGACAGACAGTGGCATGAACTGTGCCTGCCATCACAATTTCTGGAATGGTGCTGGCTTCGTGATAATAGCTTGTCCTATCAGGCATGTCACGTAAAAATTCGCTCAACCAACTCATTGACCATCTGCCTGTGGAGCTCCAGGAACAGAGCAGCGCAGAAACAGTACTGCCAACTTCAGATCAAGCGCCGCCAAGCAGCGAGAAACAGACGCCTTGTGTCGGACGCGTTCTCTGCTTGGATTCTATACCATGGGCACCGTCTCCCATGGCAGAAGGTCATGAACAGGGTGTCTTGCAGACTATCACAGCTGCGGCTCCGTCAGTCGTTCAAGGCATGGAAGACAATCGGCGACATGTCTCCAGATCAAGGCGCTAAGATGATGGGCCTGATGTGGGTGCTGAGGCGCCAGAGGCTAGCGCAGTGCTTCTTGGAGTGGAAGGTGGGTTCACGAGCACACAGCTTGTGTGATGAGCCTGGCAGCTCACATTGATTGCGTTGTGTGTCGCTGTGTGCAAATCGGACAATGCAGCAAAGACCACTTGTGTGAATTTGTGGTGGTATGTGGACAGCTTTGGTTGAGATGATGCTAATGCACGCCTTCAATTTTCCTTGGAGCGCATTCAACGTCTTTGCCCATGTGCGGAGACACTATATCAACGGCTGTATGCCAGCTGCGCATTTCTCACTCTTCCATCGCTCCATTGTTTGGTGCTTGACTTCATTATCTACAGGTGGATGGAATGGAGAATGCAAGATCATGAACAGTAGGGGATGCCAGTGCATATTGCTTGTCTCTTCCGCAAATTGTTGTTGAACTCAATTGACCTGTGAAGCAGCGCACACTGTATGCAAGTCAGTCGCAAACACTGTGGCAGGCGTTGACAGCAGACTTCAACAGCATGGCACGGCAGTGGAACGAGATGCGTGTTGTCTGCCTTGCATTTGGAACATGGCGGCAGGACTCATGGGGCAGGGGTCAAATGGCCAAGATGGTGGGACAGGCGATGACAAGGCGGGACAGGCGTGTAATGAGGAAAGCTTTTGCTGGTTGGCTTAGCGAGGTGGAGGTGGGTGGGCTGGGGTTGCACTTGCTGCAAGTTCTCAAATGCGTAGTCTTGTTGCATGGCGAATTGCACAGAGGAACTTCATGTCGCAGGTTGCTGCTCTGTGGACTACCTTGTCAAGTTCTGCATTGCAGACGCCCAGCACATTTGAACAGCGCTCACACTGGGACATTCTGAAATGAGACATACAGGAACAGCAGAATGTGGCCAGAGGCGATCTCGTCATTGACGGTGTCACAATAGCAGCCATAAGCCCAATGCAATTATTCCCAAATGTAACATTGGTGGTTGCCGTGTGAAATGCTGGACAGCGACAATTTATGTGCAGGGCCGTCATGATAGTTTACATGCCTTCTGTGATGGCGCTTTTTGGAGAATGCTGTTGTTGTGAGGCTACTGGCAAGCCAATTCTCACAATGAGGCGCCATGGTGCAGAGTCAATTTGGAATTGGGTGTAAAGTTGAGGCTTCTCACGATTGTCTTAATAATGTCTTGTCAACCACACATGGCCTTGATGGACGGCACCAAACCACACTCTGCAGTGTCATGTGGCTTAAATGTCGTTTGTTGGAATGATTCCAGCTGCGCTGTTCCAGGCACTGGAGTGTTGTGAGGGCATGTTCTGTGTAATAAGCGCATGTGCATGCGCAGGAGATGAAGGCCAGGCAGGTTAAGCTGGAGCAATTAGAAAGGCGACAGAAGTGGAGGTCACTTGCGAATGCCTTCCACATATGGCATTCCTCGGCACAAAATGTCAAACTGGAAAGGAGGAGCAAGTCAAAACAGGTGGGCGATGTGGTGCACTTCGGTTTGAGTTTGGCTGTTGCGGTCAGCGTTTGTGGATGTGTTCATTTCCTGACTGTGGGATTAGAGCTGCAAACCACGGCCACTGTGCTGAATAAGAACCGTGCATACCAGAGGAGACCTTGGCACAGTGTTTGTCTTTCAGCTTGAATGGTAATTCGATGACAGCATGCTCTGACAAGTTTGTTGGCCTGTTGCAGAGTGTAAGCTGTTTTCACTACACGTGTTCTGAGTGCATGTGGATGGACACCACACCATTTGTGTGATTCAGGAAGACGTCAGTGACCAAAATCCGCAAGACTTTTCTCTGTTGAAACGAAGATTTTAGCAGTCTTGGATTGGGACTGCATCAGCTGTTTGCAGGGGCTGGTTTGAGTTGTGAAGTGTTGAAAAACCCTGTGGGTCCGAATCTGTGGACTGGAAGATGAGTTGACATATTGATGCAGATAGTGTGTGAAAGCTGAAGATCGCCTGGCTGGTGCATGGGCAGTGCCTTGTGAATGTGACATTCATAGGAAGATGTATATTATTGATAATATATGATGCATCATGGTGGGAGATTGATCCCTTCACATGGTCCATGCGCAGTTTGAGCGGCGTGTGGAAGCAGTGCTGGTGTTTGTGTTGGCCAGCAAGCTATACCAGCAGCCCATGCTGGCCAACCTCTTTGCTGAGTGGCGCAAATTCGCCAACAGAAAGATACAGGAGGGACCATTGCTGGCTAAGCTGCAAGCCAGGAGGAAACGAGCTGTGCTGCGACAGGCACTACACTCGTGGAGAGCTGTGTGTCAGGTGTGCTGCTTCGCTTTTCCTGAAGTTGCATGGAATCTGCTCTTCTTGGATTGGGTACATAGTGCATACAAAGGGACGAAGCAATGGTTGTCCTGTGTGCTGTAGGGCTAACGTGACTGGAAAGCATTGTCGTTTGACACAACTGATGGCAACATGGATTCAAGAGAATGGCAGATGGATGGCACTCATTTGAGTGCGGATCAAACTGTCCTGATTCATCTGTTGTGGACAACGTTACAAAGCACATGTACTTGCGATGTGTGCTTGTGTCTCTGGCTGCAGTACTGCATTGTGAACTGGAGTTCAACGACTTTTCGACACAGCACACCCTGTTGATCTACTATCATCAATTACCAACGACACAGGACACATTTTGCTGCTGCAGCATTTCATGTTCATGAAGTGAGCAAACGAGGTTGTCTGGCAGCAGATGGTCTAGCCATTAGCTAGGCTGGAGTATCAATAAGTGCGATGGTGATGAGTGGGCGCCTAGACACCGAATTTCACGTAGTATATTGGGAACTCAATACCTATTTGATGAATGCATCGCCAGTTCATGGGCCTGAAAGTGTGGCATTAGTGCTCATTGCCCCTGTTGAATTATTCTATGTAGTGTCACCTGTGGTATACTTTGCCTGGTGACGCCATCCTCCTGGTTCTCCTCCATCCTGTTCCAGGGTGGTAGATGAATTTCACACTTGCAATTTTTGGTGATGGTGTTACTGATTGAGTGTTATTAATAACTGAATGTATGAAAAGATGACGAAGCACTAAGGATTGCATTAGGGATGTTGATGAACGGACTGGGTATAAAGGGCAGAACGTCTGTTGTCCTTTTGCCTCGGCTGTAAACCGTTGCCGTGGACTCGAGCTTACAATTCCCGTTCAGGGATTGCCACCCCTCGACCCTGCCTGCCTTCGTCAATGGCACAGGCTTTGTGAGTTCCCATTAATTACCTTGTCAAATAAGACAAGTGCTGACCTTGCACGATTATACGTTTCCAACGCTGCATGTTGCGTTTGCCGCTAGATGTTTCCCTTCATCGCCTGGTGGTGTAAAGCAAGTTGGCAACATTGTGTTTTGGTGGCGAACCAGGCTCTGTTCAAACAGGTTCTGATCAAAGGGGCACCCAGCAAATCCGTACCTTGTTCACCTGAGTGCAGCGGTAGGAATTATCATGTCTTTGAATATTGGCTTCGAGTGCCTGGCAGGACGCCGCGGGCAGTCGGAGGGAGGCTGAGGGCATCAGGAGTCGCAGAGATGAGGTCCTCGTGCAGGACACATTTATGTCGTGGAAGGAGTACGCCGCCCAAGAGCAACACAAGAGGGAGGTCGTGACACGTTGCGAGGTGTCGAAGCGGGTGGCAATGGTGTACTTCTTTGAGTGGTTTGGCAGGATGCTACTGCCGCCATGGCCAAGGGGGGGGTAGCGGTTAGTGGTTATCACGCAGAGAGGGATGGACAACACGGAGGGGGTGTACATTGCAGGGTGCACAAGCAAGGGATACTAGCAGATTGGGTATACACAACGAATGAGACGGTGGAGGGGCGCAGGGGCGTGGCGCCAGCGGTTGGCGTCCGCCCCAACAACGAATGAACGCCTGTGAACGTTCAATGTTGAAGATTGCCTTTATCTTGCATGACAGCACCGGCGCCGAGCACAGGGCCTGTGACACGAGCCGTTGCTGCCTGCCGAAATAGGGACCTGTCTTTTCATTTCATGCCACGAAGTGGCTAGCAGATGGGCCTGGGCCTTGAAACGGAAGGCCGTCGCACAGCAGTCAAGTTGAGCCAGTTTAGTGCTGTGGAGGGATATGGCACAATGTTATTAGTGGGGTGGGGCGCGCGGGCAACACATGAACCAAGCGTTTTATAGTGATGATTGTCGCACTCAGGGCTCGCATCGTCGGACAGATTTTGTGACCAGGCGGATGGCCACATGCCACATCGTGCGTTCCACATTCTTGATGCACCGCTGACGGTGGGGGCCTTTGAGACAAGCCCACCGCAGACGGTTCTGACCCAGTTGAACAAGATTATTCCGCATCTTGATTTAAGTGCTCTTGTGAATGTGACAGTGTATGCGTGTGTGTGCACAACAGCATTGGTGGTCTGGGCTGCGGGAACTCCGGTTGACCTGATTGGCGCTGACGTGGCTGTATCCGTTGAGACAGCAGGAGTGCTGCTGTGCCGGGAGAACCAGAAACGAGACCAGTAAGAGTATTGTTGGCTGGTTTGTGGTCCCATATCGCATGGACCAGGGGCGAATTTGTTGTGCACAACGTCAAATAGGTTTTGAGAAAAGGAGGGGGGGGAGGATGTCCAGAACCCCTTTAATTGAGCAGCTGCCGAAATCGCCGTGGGCGCTTGCAAGTCAGGAAGAGGTCCCCATGCCCAAAGTTCCTTTCAGCGTTTTGTAGACGCACAGGCGGGGTATGCATTCTCCAATACGCTTGCACCCACTCTTGCGGGAAAATGACGTTTGGCACAGATGTGGACAACCTGAAGTAACCAAGAAACGTTCAATTGGGCCATCTTCGATGTTTCTATCAATTAGAAACGCTCTTGTGCTGAAAATGCAGCTTACAGGCATCAACGGCAGACCAATCTACAGACACACGTTCCGCCATTGACAACTTGAAAGAGCGAAATTGTTCAGTGGCGAACGTTGGACGCGTTGTTTCCGCATCCCCTTTGATTTTCGGCTCGGTTGTCGTTGGCGGCCAGCTTGTGGGGGCAAGCAACCCTTTGCAATTCTAAGGAATGCATCTTTTGAGACCCACAGGCGTGACTTGCCTTTGGAAGGTAGAGGACAGATTGCAGAACATGGCCACTCTTAAGTGCACAGTCAATTCAGTACTCTATTCGACTGCATAAGTACGAATATTTGTGCATTTTCTGGCCCTTCGCAACTACTCGAGCGATGACTACAGCGCCCGTGACGGAGGCAATAAACGTTAAATTTTCACGCGATTCCCATCCCCCGTTTCCTCATTACGCGCCGCAGCTACGCAAGGAATGTGTTCCTGGGGAGTGAGGTGGAACCTCGGGGTGCGTACCTGTGAGAACTTGGCGGGGTGTCGGACCGGGGTAGTTAAAGGGCATTTTAACTCGAACAAGATGTAACACTTTTGGATCGACTCTGCGCACGACGCGGCGCCGCGACCCGTTGGGCACGTCGCGCTGTTGCAGCGCTTCACATCAGCGTATCATCATCATCATCATCATCATCATCATCATCATCATCATCATCATCATCATCATCACCATCATCATCATCATCATTTTTTACAAAGCAAGGCAATGAGGTAGCCGACTGTCAGGAACGCGGGGGATAAAATGATTTCTCTTGCCAGGCAGCTTATTTCACCTGCGGTGCAAACCGTCTTTTGTGCTACACCTGTTTTGATGGATATGAACTTTTGGCCGAGATTTTTTTGGTGGGAGGGCGAATGTGCATGGCATAAGAGAGGGGTGAGAAGTGTGCCAGTCACGTGGCAAGGGCCAAACAAGAGAAACATCGGTTGGCATCAGTGTCCAAATACGACAAATCGCCCTTGAACCTGTTAGGAAACGCCTGCCTAATTCCATTACTGTTGTGTCCTCGAGACTGAAAAATCTCCGCACTCAGGAGGGTGTATTCAATGAAAAGCACCATATTGCATTCTGGCCTTGATGGAAATGACCTCCTCATTTTTATGATGCGACTGAAGAACAAAAAACTACTTTGACATCTGTCATGTCTCCCATTGTTTTGATTCGTCTGCTTTGACCCTGGATTGGTTCGAAATTTAGAGTTTCTGGATCCTACAAAACAGTTTGCTTTTGGACGGCGTGTGGAGCGGCGAAATGAGCTCGAAGGGATGGATTGGACAATAGCGGCATGGTGGCCGAGATAAGCCACTGAGTTCAAATGCGGGAATATGAGAGCGCGGTTTCTGCAGCTGTTTGGCATGGGCGAGGCGTATGGCTGCGTTTGTTAAGGCAAAACACAGAATTACCCAGCCATCTATCGCATTTCATATTTCCGTGCTGCGCTTTGACTCATGCGGCAAGCGCAAGCCAAACGCGTTTCATATCAGCATTGCTTTGGTAATCGGGAATCACTGCATTTGTGGGACTTTTCGCACGCATTTCCAAGTCTCTTCTCCCTTAACACGAATAATGGAATATGCAATGCCCACATTCTATTGTCTGTCAGCTATCATTTGATATCTTCACATTAATTCACCACCCGCTCCCCATCACACGCCCTTCGTTCACTTCTACCGTACGGACAATCCGCTCCCACTTTGGCACTACGATACGACGCCAATGGAACGTAATAAATCTATTCAGGAACCTCCGTCCTGGCTCGATACACAAGGGATTTCAAGTTGGTGTCAGTGACACAACAGCTGCACCTCAGCTGTGGGCATCGACAATGTGGATGAAGTACTCCTTCAGAAGGGCTTAAGGAACATGTGGTACAAAATGTACTATAGAATACTGAAACCTTATACTGCTTCTGCCAATAAACGGTTATATGCATCACAAGTTGGCCATGGACCCAGAATACGTGGTCTTTTCGTACGACGTTGAGTAACTCGTCTCGCGTCTGTTGACGTGCTGAGCTCTTTGGCCACCATGCGCGTCTGTTTTTCTCTGGCTGCCTGCGAAACGCAGAGTCGGGCCTGAAGCCTGGAGCTCGGGGCATCTCCTGCGAGCATGCCTAGCACGGACACCCAAACAAAGAATGCCATTCAGTCCACTGCGCCAGGTTCCACAGTTGACCGCATCGACGTTGCATTCATTAAAGCGAAAAGGGCGTGACACGCAAAGGGTAAGTTGACCTTGTTGCGCAAATCACAGTTGTTTAGACAACGCCACGTCGCGGCCAACGGCGGCTTTCTGGAGTCCTACAAATGCAGGTGAGTATTGCGCTCTTGGCCTAATTTTCACGCCTCCCCCTTCCTAGGGAATAAGGTTTGGTGCCTGTTTCAGGAAGTGCCCCGCTTGAAGCTGCAAACTGGGTCCTCAAAATAGGATTACGCAGCTTGTTAGGAATATTTTCGCATACAACGGGTTAGCTCTAAGTTTACAATATGTTGCGCTCCTAGAATGCGTTCGTAGTCAACGTTGGTACATCTATACACATGGGACAGTACAAGCATACTATGAGCGTCGTGAATGTGCTCCGTGGCTAGCTTGCATCAATAAAAGATGGTAATGCTTTCCCGGAAGATGCTCGAATCGCCCACTGTAGAAGAGCAGTTTGGTTTCATCCAACATGCGAAATAGTGCAACCATGTTACCGTGCACCTTGGACGTTCGTAAGGGGCAGTCCAAGCAGAATATGAGCGACACGGGGATTCTGCCCTCGCTGGATCCATGGGATGGCTATCCTCCCCGTAAGGCACCCTGATCCCTCTTGATGTCAGGCACCTGGACATCGGAATTCAAGCTAACAAAAAGTTCCATTCATCGCTCAACATTTCAACAATTCATGGTGGCTAAATCCGTTGGTGTTTGAAAAGGTCGTTATCAATGGTATTATAAATAGCATTATAGAATTGTCTCAGGAAGGTAAATACATGAGCTACATAGAATGCATAAGCTGTGCGCACTGTAAGATAATTCTATACAGTTAAAGAATTAGCGAGTAAGCTAGCCCATGGGCGGCAAGTAGTACCTGTCATGGTTTACTCAAGGCCCCGACGCAGATTCCGCATTTGTCCAAAACGGCCATAACTGCGCAAAATATTGTAACAGACACGTTCAAAAGCCCCCTAGAAGTATGCGTGAAGCTAATGCATAGCAGTGCTTGATGACGGCCAAAATATGTGCAACGGGATTTCCTTAGTCGAATCTCCCAGTTTAGATTGATGTTGTAAAAGGATATCACGACATGGCGAAATGTTTGTTTTGTTTTGTGGAGGTGCGTCGGGCAAATTTTGCATTTCCTCTTTTTGCCCACATCCCAGTATATGTCCTACACTCGCCCATATATCCGCCCATCTATCCGCCCATATCCAAATTTGATGATCTGGAATATGGCGCCATACAGATTCAATACCCAGGATGTGGGCACATTCCCATATCCAAGTACGTACGCAGGATATTGGACTTCTTACCGACGTGGGATGAGAGCCACTCACATGTCATGTTGGACCCGGAGGCCTGCAGGGGCCATGCGATCTGGCCTTTGAAGGTCTCGATCTTCCGGAAGAGTGGCAGAGCTCGGCCGCTGCATGATGGATCTAACATGGTCCGCCTTTCCGCGCTGCACAATGGAATGCAGCTCCTGCAGTTGCAGCTCTTCCGCGTCACCCCTGTTGGGGCGCAGGCCTTGAGGACCTGCTTGACTTGCGGGAGCGCCATCAATGTCAAAAGGGTGTGTCACCACATCTCCATCTCTTCTTGGCGCCTCTGGATTCCTTTGTGCAACTCC